AACCCGGGGGTATAAATGTAGGGCGCGAAACACGCCACGTTGAATCGCAGTTACTATGAGCTGAATAAAGTCACTTTCACATATCTCTTGTCGCGTCCTCCCCTTCGCTCCAAGATACAAAACCACCCATTGCTTCTTGTTCTACACTCAGATGCCTTGGAGAATAGTTTAACTCCTTATTCTTTGTGGCAACCCCTGACATATTGGACTGCTATCATGTCTCCCCTAGTCCTTCTTTTCATTAAACTGGACATACCCAGTTCCTGCCACTGTTCTTCATATTTTTTTAGTCTCCAGTCCCCTAATCATCTTTGTTGCTCTTCTCTGCACTCTTTCTAGAGTCTACACATCTTTTCTACTTCATGGCAACCAAAACTGAATGCAATTACAGTTGAATTTATGCCTATTTATCCATTTCTCAATATTGGATGCAATAAAATAAATTGTGTTCTCTATGATTATACATTGACACTTATGTTTATATTACTGTAATCCTAGGAGTATCTGTATGCATTCCAGTTTGAAGAATGCAGGTAAATATCATCCTCAACAGAATATTGATTCTGAAAGTAAATTCACCATTTAATAGTGGAACATATGGAATGGGAAAGAGAACTAAGAGTTAACGTAGACCAATATTTACTGATTTTCAAAGGCTCCCAAGTGTTAAAATAAATCTATATAATAATATTATTAGCCCAGATGTGTGTCTTGCATTAAGTGACTATTTTTCACTCATTGTTTCTGAAAGAGTTGAAGCAAATATGATGGGATTACAATTTAGTTCAGGAGAGTTGATTGTAAAATAATTTATCATTTATTAATCTCAGAGAATACTCCAACAAGCTTCTCAGATGATGATATTGTTAATTCTGGAAAAAGGTATATTTCTCTAAATGTATATCCTTTCCTGTAAGAAATCATTGACCATTTTGTAATCTATTTTTTGCAGAATATTTGGAATAAATGAAATGGGCAACCAATCCATTGTGACAGAATTCCTTTTAATGGGATTTGCAGATGACCATGAAACACAGATTTTGCATTTAGTTATATTTCTGTTTGTTTATTTAACAGCTGTAGTGGGAAATCTTCTGATCATCATGGCTGTCGCCCTAGATCATTATCTTCACAATCCCATGTATTTCTTTTTGGTTCATCTGTCATTTTTAGATCTCTGCTTTATTTCTACTACAGTTCCTAAATCCATAGCCATTTCAATTACACAAAATAGAGCAGTAACCTTTACTGGATGTGCTGCACAGCTATTTTTAATTGTTACTTATACTAGCGGTGAACTTTTTTTGCTCACTGCCATGGCCTATGACCGTTATGTAGCCATCTGCCACCCTCTGCAATACAGTATGATCATGAACTGGAATGCTTGCATTCAAATGGCATCTGCTGCCTGGATAAGTAGCTTGATTCATGCAGTAGTAGAAACCAGTCTAACTTTCAGAGTGAACTTTTGTGGATCCAATAAAATTAGACAATTTTTCTGTGATATGCCTCTGTTACAAAAAATATCTTGCGCTGATTCAAATGTTCACACATTTTTCTTTTTCATTCTTGGGCTCTTTATAGTCACATTTTGCATTGGAGTCCTGTTTGCTTCTTATGGATATATCTTTTCCACAGTGCTGAGAATAACATCAGTTCATGCAAGAATCAAAACTTTCTCAACCTGCACTCCTCATATGACTGTGTTTTCCTTATTTGTTATCACTGCTGTATTTTCATATATGATACCAAAAAACCTTTCTACTCCAATTATGGATGTGGTTGCTGCGTGCCTGTATACACTTTTGCCACCAGTTCTAAATCCCATCATTTACAGTTTAAGAAATAAGGATATAAAAAAATCTTTGTGGAAAATATCCACAAGATTAAAACATCTCCTATAGTGATTGATAACATTCTTACAAGAGTTGTGCAAGTAACTTATAATTGAATAAGAATATCATGGCCAAGTGGATTCTGTGTGGAGATTAGAGATTTGAAATGGTTGTAATTGTTGATAGATCATTTTTCCAGAGCCCAAGATGTAAAATATTGGCCAGTTACTCTGCCTACTGTTCTAATCCCCCCCCCCCACAATTCACAATCAACTTTCTCTATATCCTTTTTAGAATAGGAAATTGAACATTAAAGCAATTTGAAGTTGAAGTTCAGCTTGGCTGGCCCATTAATTTTAAACAGTTTTTGTCTGATATTCTTCGCTTGCAAAAGACAGGTTCGGTATAATTTTAAAGTTCTCCAAATGTTTTGAAGCTGAGTGGAGGGAAAGATACAATGCCTAACTGTTCTTTAAAACCAAAAATCTGATATGTATATGATGAGATATGATAACTATTATGATTAAATCCTATTCTTGCCAAATTACAAACAATTTGTAAGAGGTCCAAAACAGGGATGCCAGCAAAAAAAAAATTATTAATCTGCCATGAGGTGACAGAGCAAGAGAAAAATCTGATCAAATGTGTGTGTGTCTGTGAAAAGAGAGAGGGAGGGAGGGAGCACACTGCTGCCAGTCCTGGTATAAATCTGTGAGGTTGGATCGGATCTCTCCCCCCCCCCTCCAGAGGCAGTGGCAACGCTTTAGTGCCTGTCCAGCCAGGCTGGCCCCACTTTCCCTCTTTCTTCTCCTTGCTTCTCCTCCTTCCCTTGCTCTGCTTTTTGTCTGTCCATTGGGGCTTGAGGGATGGTCAATCCCAATTTGTGGCATAACTTCAGACTACAACAGTGGTGAAGGAGGAAGGCAATCCCACCCACCAGACCAGGGGCTGGAGTGGGAAACTGAATGGCACTGAAAGTAGCTGAAAGTGTGGTGTTCAAGTCCTGGAAGATTGTTTGAAAGGAACAGCATTGCCTGCAATTCTCATCACTATGCATTGCTTCTAAGCACACAATGTCCACAATATTCCAGGGCTTGATTACACAAAGGCAATTTGCTCTGGAAGGGAAGCAGGGAAGAAGTTTCTTTTGAGAGGTCCTGCCCAGCAGTGGAAAGTTCAATGCCACACTTTCAGCTGCTTTCGGCACTGCTTGGTTTCCCAGGCTGGTCTGGTGGCTGGGATTGAATTTTGCCTTTCCCACCACTGTGGTTTGCGACCACGCTGTGAATGGGGATTGACCATCTGCTTTGCACCCCTCACCTTAATTCATCCTCCACCCCACTCCCCACTGACTTGCTTTTCAGCTGCTGGCCTCTCATGGTTACTGGCCTACTTCTTCTCATTGCTCACCACTGTAGGAGACTAAGCGATGCACTAGTGCAGATGCCATAAATCGAGGTGGTGGAGGATGGAGGATGAAACAAGGCAGGGATGTGGAGCTTCCCCAACAACCCACACCAGCTTACCTGAGTAACCTGCAGCCATGCATCAACATCCTGACAACTGCTTCATATTGCAGTGGCTCCAGAAGCCCCATCCAGGGCCCCATGTGGCTTGTGCATCACCCAGCCTCCTGCTCCATTGCATCAGCAAGCAACAAGAAGATGTGGGCTTTGCAGCATTCTGCTCTGAGTGGCAGCACCAGCTCAATACGCCATGTGGCATCTGGCTGCAAATGGCTGCAAGAAGCTGCAGAAAAAGTCAGAAGTCCATGTCAGGGCATGGAAGCATGGTTGCAGCAGTCCTAAAGTAAGCAGGTGCTGGGCACATAGGGTAGCTCCACCCCCTCCTCCACATCTTAGCTTGATTTTTATGCCTGTGCCTCACCTCCATCTTGTACAACCAGATGGTTGAAGGTACTTAGTTAGGGTTTGTTTTGGGGGTAGAGCTTATTTTAGGCACAGGCATGAAAATCAGGCTCAGGCTTGTTTTGGGGGCATAGGTCATATTTCTAGGGAAACAATATTTACAAACAAAAAGTGCTTGGAAAATAGTTTCCACACTAAAGCAACTTCTTGAAAAATTGCAAATAATCTTACAGTAATCATTTAATCATTCCATTCCATTCTATTCTATGCCACTCCACTTCACTACATCACACCATACCACACTACACCATACCATACCACACACCACCACACCACACCACAATCCACTCCACACCATTCTATTCTTTTCATAACTAAGACAAAACAAAACAAAATTTTAAAAACCTGCTTAAATATAGCATGGGTTTTTTTTCTGTAGTTCTTTACTGTGTTGGAATCCTATCATTAATATCTTGAGAAATAAAGATATTTTGAAACTATCCTCCATATTGAAATATTTTGGAGATCAATTCTTATAACAATGATGAAACAAACCCTTAATCTGTGGAAGTTAAATAACTCTATTTATATGTTTTCTATATTTAAATAGGGTAATCTGTCATGCCCTGTTGGAAGCCAGGTCTGATGAGGAGGAAAAGATGGAGCCGGGGTTGATAGAGAGGGAGGGCACAGTCTCTATGGCCTATGATGAATGACCTTGGAATGAGGACGAGGCAGTCCTGAGTGCCTCAGGCTTCAGAAGAGTAGGCAGGGAGGAAGAGAGGATGTAGGCTGACTGAGGAAGGAGATAGAAAGAGCAGGCAGCAGAGGAGAGCACAATTCCAGAGATGAGCAAATGCTTCCTACAACTGATCCCTGAGTGCATAGACTGGAGAGGAGGCAGTGTAAGCACAGGGCGACCGACTATTCAGGAGGAGGGCACTCCATCCCTTCTCCTGGAGAGTAGCATTGAAGGAAATGCCATGGGGAGGAATTACTGTCAGGAACAAATGTTGTATTTCGTGGCAACATATTCCACAGCTCTAAGAACTTTACTCCAGAATCCTTGCTGGTGTGAACTGAGGTTTGATCCTTTCCTGTGACATTCATCATGAACTTTGCCAAATTTGAGAGCTTTTCTTGCCCCTGGGGTGGTGCTGGTCCTGTGGACCTTCATTCCCAAAAAGTTTCATGAAGCCTGTGCAGGAACATGTGTTTGAGTCTTGCTTTTGGATTGTAAGGGTAACCTGGGGGCAGAGATCTTGGAGAACAGACTGGGAATTACTGGATTGGGGGGATGGTGGTTGAATAAAAATTGTCAAGCTTCCACTTAACATGTGTTGCTTGCAAGCCAACCCTGAGTCATAACACATAATAATGCTTTCTCTGTTTTATTGGCATTTGAGATATATTTTGTCTCCTCAGTAATGAATTATCATTTTATCTACCATTATATAGCACCATGAAGTCAGTAGGATAAAGACTCAGGATAAGACCCCATAGTACTTCTCAATTTACCTACTTTCTAACCTACTATAGATAGAAAAGAGCTGTCTCGGTCCCTCATTCTAAAGGCTTCTGGGTAGAAGGACTTAAGTGAGAGGAAAATTTCAGGTATACTAAGTATTTCAGAGAATCAGTTTAATGTAGTTATTAGAGCACCAAGCTGGAAACCAGGCAACCGTGAATTCTAGTCCCACCTTAGGTATGAAAACTGGCTTTGTGTCAATCACTTGCTCTTAGCCCAACCCACCTCACAGTGTTGTTGTTGTGGGGAAAATAGGAAGACAAAGGAATGTTAGAAATGTTTGGTGCCTTGAGTTATTTATAAAAATAATAAAAGTGCAATAAAATTAAATAAATAATATCTTTATTTTCAATCTTTGTATACTTGCAACAGATAAACCGATTTTCTTCCAGTATTCCTGAATATACTTGTATAATTTTGCTCTCCATATGTTTGCTTGAAAAGCAGTTGGAAAATAAATAAATAAAATTAGGAACTAAAACCACCATAAGGCAAATATTCTCTATAATTGAAAGGATAAGAAATACAACATGTCCATTCCACCTTAGAAATTGATTTGCTCTTTGCATAATTTATTAGTTGATTTGATTTAGTGAGTTAATCTAATTAAGAGGTTTCCACTAAATCTGTAGATCCCTGGTTTGATAGTCATTTGAGGCAGAATTTATTTATTTAGTCAATGATCAGCAAAAGAAGAAGCATATTAATGCTATGGAAGTAATAGGCACATTTTCAGCCCAAAAGTGAAACAGTTCAATTTTCCTAATGAAAAGTAGAAGTAGCATAATGTATCTCAAGAGGAATAAAGCAAATAAATTAGTTGGGTTTTTGTTTTTTTTTCAGTTTCTGTTTTTTCAACATTTGTTTAATACCTTGCTCTGGGATTCTGTTGAGCACATATAGATCTCTTGCGAATAGTTGTTTAAACTCTAAACTTGTCAATTTACAAATACAAATCAGTATGTTCTACCAACTTACAGTTCCATTAACTGTCTGCTCTGCAAAGTAAAGAGGTGTGTGATAGTAACTATTTTTTAAAGGGTGAATAATTATTTTGACTTAGGATTTTTCAGCACCAGGAAGAAAAGCATGCTGGAACACAGTCTGGGGGTACAATTTCTCATTACTGTGAGGTTTTGTATATGTTGAGTTCTCTGTCACAATGCTTCCTAATATTATGAATTTTGAAGATTCTCAAGGTTTCACTAGGACTCCTGTTCTAAATAAGTCTGCAGTTAACCAGACAGATATTGAAAGTATGAAAGGCATAGGCTAATAATAAATAAATATTGAAATAATATTCTAATATAATTTACAACATTTAGAAATTAAAATTTATTTATTTATTTATTTATTTGTTTGTTTATTTATTTGGTTGGTTGGTTGGTTGGTTGGTTGGTTGGTTGGTTGGTTGGTTGGTTGGTTGGTTGGTTGGTTGGTTGGTTGGTGGTTGGTTGGTGGTTGGTTGGTTGTCACTCATCAAACGTCTCTGGGAATTACAGCACGAACAAATATTTAATGAGGAAAACATAAATGCACAGTAGTTAATAATAATCACAGTTAATATTCTGATAAAGAAATATTGAAAATGCACTGTTGTACCTGTAGAAGTCATTAAATTTGAGTGGAACAGCTGATTTGCTTCTCAACGTGCCCCTTTTAAGTTTTCTTAAACCTTTCTTCTCATAAAAACATTTGCTGCCTTTTAACTGATAAAGAAACTAGATCTTGCTGGATTACCATAGTCTGGAACGAAAAATTGAATATTTTTGGACATGCATGAAATGGTAAGTTTTGAGCATATTTAGATTTCACAGAATAGATGTCTTTGTTAGAGAATGTACTTGAAATCAGCATATACACAAAATACTGTCAAGTGCAAGAAATTGGGAACAAGAGCTAGATTCAAAATGAATGCAAGTTTAATTCATGCTGCTTCTAAACAGGAATCTGAACTACTGACAGTCAAGGGAAATTGGTGGTAAATAAGAGTCAATAGAATTCAAGGAGGACTGCATTTAGGTCTCTTTTGGGCATTACTCCAAACTGATGAAATACTTAATCCTTTGTCATCTCCTCCATGTACCTCTGCAATGAGCTGCAATCTGTGAACTAATCCATAAACCAAAATTCTTTGGAATGATAAACAAAAGTATTGCTTTCTGTCCCACTTAGTTCTAACTTATTTTTATAAGCGGGGTTTTTTTTTGGCAAAGTTTAGAAGAGGATGCTTCTAAATGCCAAATGTATTTTTTCTAAAGTGTTAAATTCTTTGTTCTGTTCAATCTACAATATTTCTTTAGGAAGGATAGTCTATGTTTTGGTGTATGAAAAAAAGGAAAATAGAATAAAATAAAGGATAAAATAAAAACTGTGTAATATATCCTATGAATCATTTATACTGATACTGATATGTTGACAGATATGAACAATAATGTAGACACAATGGAATGAGAGAGAAATTAAAAATTGATTGATAAATCTATTTGGATCGATATACATTTAATATATGTTACTTAATACTTTTGGATGGCCCGATAAAATAAATTTGTAGAATAACCAAAAATGCACTATCTTGTATTTTGACAACTCCCCAAACTGAAGCATTATGGATATGAAACTCATTGGCAAACATAGACTGATCACATTTTTAGAAGTGGTTTCCTTTTGGTTTATCAAATTTATAAAGTTACCTATCTTAAAAGGATCAAGAATTCAACATTCCTGGTTTGAGCTATTACAGCAAACTGGATTTATACTGTTGAATGGTGATTTAAGAAGTAAACAGCATATTTTTAGGACTAGTGGTTTGCCAGCTTTCACAGTGGAGAACAGCACCTTAATGCTGATGGATGGAGGACCTTTAAGATTAGTGTCTAAATATTTTACTCTCTGTCTATGTAGTGCTGAAACAAAGATGGACCAGACATCTCTGGAGCACTGATGCTGGAAATACTGATTCATTGTTTCTACAGTGTTTGTTGCAGTTGTTGTTGTTGAAAGCAAATGTTAAACCAAACATTTGTGACTGAATTCATCCTCCAAGGATTTTCTACAGCTCGAGAGTTGCAGATTTTACACTTTGTGATGTTTTTCTTCCTTTATTTAGTAACTGTGGTGGGCAACATCCTCATTATCATAACTGTAGCCCAGAGTAATAATCTTCACAACCCCATGTATTTTTTTCTGGCTATTCTCTCCTCCATTGATTTCTGCTTCATTTCAACCACTGTTCCCAAATCTATGGGCAATTCCTTGGTAAACAGCAATGCCATCTCATTTACTGGATGCGTCACTCAGGTTTTCCTTGTTGTCTCCTGTGCTACTTCAGAGATCTTCTTGCTCACTCTCATGGCATATGATCGATATGTTGCAATATGTCATCCTTTGAAATACAAACTAATCATGAATCAGAATGTTTGTCTCCATCTTATATTAATTCTTTTGGTGTTTGGTGTAATCAATGGAGCATGTCATGCTGCAAACACCTTCCGTTTAGATTTTTGCTCATCCCACATTATCAAGCAATATTTTTGTGATATCCCTCAGCTGTTAAAAATATCTTGCATCAATACAGAGATCAATGAGAAAATTACATTTGGCTTAGTACTAAGTATAGGTTCATTTTGCTTCATTTTTGTTTCTATTTCTTATGGGTATATCTTCTCAGCAGTTTTCAAGATTCAGTCTACTCAGGGACAGTATAAAGTTTTCTCTACTTGTGTTCCTCATTTAACTGTGTTTTGTTTATTTGTTTTTACTGTCATGTTTTCATACATGAGACCAAAAGCTTTGTTCTCACCATCTCTGGACTTACTTTCAGCTGTTTTGTATACAATTTTACCTCCACTAATGAATCCCATAATTTATAGCTTACGGAACAGAGAGATTCAAATTTCTTTAAGGAAAATGCAAAAGAAATATTTCAGATTTCATGTGTTGAGCTGACTATATAATTGTTTATTTTTCCAGACTTCTACCTAAAGGCTGGGTGGAAAAAAAAGAGATTCTTGATGTGATCTGTCTTGGTAATTAAATATCAATTTCCTGTAACATTCCAGGTTTATTTTACTGGAAATATATCTGAGTAAAATTTTTGAAGATACAAGAAGAGGTGGGATTCTACTGGTCTGCACCTATTCACTAAAACATCTTGTTAACTTTTTAAGCAGTTCGGAGAACTGGTTGTTGGAAGAAATTTCCTTTTGTTTTTTCCACTTTACAAGGCTAATCCTAAATAAACTGCCTCTCCATTAACTCTTATTACATTCTTGGCAGTACATCTGGACCAGGGGTTGGTTTCAGTAAGTAAGTACACACATACCTCTTCTTGAAATTTAGTGTGCTTTCCCATAACCATTCTTCCGGATGCCCCATACTGGAACACTCCCTCCACTGGCCTGCCCCTCTCACTCCCCCCACCCACCCAGTTGCCTCTCCCTCGCTTCCCCAACCCATCCACCCAGGGCCGCTCACTCACTCCCTTGCCCTACCTATCTGCATCAGGTTTGCCCTGCCCACTCACTTCCTTTGCCGGAGCAGAGGATTGGTAGAAGCCGATGTGATGCATGCTCCCTTCTCTTTGATATCTGCCTCATTTCCAATGGGGATGAGGAAGAAATCCATGTTTTTCCTCCTTCTGCATGGATTCTCCCACATTGGAAATGAGGCGGCTGTCAAACAGAAGGGAGTGCACACCATATGGGCTTCTCCAACATTTGAATCCTCACATCCTGTTCCTTCTTCAGCTGTTGGAAAAGCCCATGTTGCACATGCTCCCTTCTCTTTGACAGCCACCTGGTTTCCAATATGGGGGAAGGAATCCATGCATTAGAGAGGGAGGAAAATGCATGGATCCCCCCAAAATTGGAAACTAGGTAGCTGTGAAAGAGAAGGGAGAAAGGATAGGCTGCAGGAAAATCCCTCCCTTTTCCTGCCAAACATTCTGTACTTGGATTGTAGCACCAGAATCACACCCACAAAGGGCTCAATCCAAAGCCTTCAGCCTTGCAATTCTGGGAGGTGTGTCTGTGCTGCAATCCCAAAGAAAGGACAGGTTGCAGGGAACCCCCCCTTCCCCTGCTTATCGTTCTTTATTGGGATTGCAGCACCAGAAGCACATCTTTAAAAGGCTCAGTTCAAAGCCTTCAGCCTTGCAATCCTGGGAGGGGTTTCTGTGCTGTGATCTCAAAGAAAGAATGGTGTGTGTGAGAGAGAGTGAGAGTGAGAGAGAGTGTGAGAGTGAGAGAGAGAGGGGAAGGGAAAGAGAGAACTAGAGAGAACCTCCCCTTAAGGGGAGGGATGTGGGCAATCCTTTACAAGGTAAGGCTGAGGAGCTTGTCCAATTTCTCACGGATAACGTTCCTCNACTGCATTACAATCTATATTTTCCAATCTCTTCTCAATTCTCTCTGTTGTTTCTAATAATTTTTGAATTTCAAACATAATCTGTTGTAATGCTTTCTTTTTGGTGTTGTGCCATTCTTCCAACTAGTAAACACTGCCACTTTAGTTTCAAAACAAGGTTTTGTTTTCACTTCTCTCCAGCTACCAAAGAAGCATCCAAAGAGCACCTGTATAAACAGCCCATACTCTTCTCCTTATCTCTTCTGTAAACAAGCTTAAGCCTTTGAAGTGCAAAGACAAAATGATCAAATAGAAAAAAGAGAAAGCAATATTTCCAGGATTCAATCTCCAACCTCCAAGTGGCAGTGTAACTTCTTTTCCATCTGATGTTACTACCCTCTTTATATTCCTTTTATATCTTCTTTATATTCCAGGCTTAAAAGAAACAAAATTCTTAAATGGAGCAAAATAAAGAGGAAAAAAACCATCCAAACCAATATTATAAACATAAAGAAAAAGATTTAATCCATAGGTAAAAAAAAAGAAATAGAAGAAGAAAAACCAATACTTTCACTTTTAAAAGTAGGAAAACATGCTGTCCAATATAGCTTATTTTTGCCACTTATGTTCTTTTCTTTGCAAGTTTAATTTAGCTTTGATTGGGGGGGGGGCAGTTTCTTTTATAACAATAAAATTTCCTCACCAGATGGACATACTTTCTCTTTCCGCTTTCCTCCCATTGTGGAGTTGTCCCAACTTCAGCAGCTTTTGGCTGCACTTTTGTCAAAAGATTCTCTTGGATAAATCAGGGACTTGTGATGTCCCTGAGATCAACAACTCAATACTCTTCCCTCTCACCATCTCTTTGGGATGGTTTATGTCCAAAAGGACAGTCCAGTGGCAAAAAAAAAATCAACTGCGATCTTGGAGCTCCAAGATTGAACGTCGTACTACTGCGACGTCAGCTCCTGTCTCCCTGTCTGCCTTTTTGGATCAACTATTTACACTTCAATATTTTCAATGTTAACTTGAAAATTGGTTGTTCTTCATGTTGCCATTGGTTTGTTATTCTTTATACTTAATCATTATAATTTTCTTTCTTTTATTATTAGAAGTTGTAGATCATGTGCATTTTCAACTTTCAGGCTAGCATAGTGCAGGTGATTGAAAAATCTCCTCACAATTTTAGAGCCACTCTCCTTTGCTTCCAATATAGTTTCCTTCAATATATATTCCACAAAAATGTGTAAACTATTAATTCGAAAGAAGACTTTATTAATTAAGAATGTTGATAGAACATATTTCTGTTTTATATAGATTTCATAATAGTTTTCAAAATGGGAAAAGTGTGCTTTGTTATACTACTAAATGAGTATGTGATACATCTAGGCGATCTACATGAATGTGGTAAGTTAATTGCTGGAGGGAGTTTTACATCTTTCTTATTTATTTTTATGTTATTGTTTGTTTGGGTATTATATCTAAATAAGTAATTAATTGGTTGACTGTATATACATTGCTGTTTTGTATATACATTTGTTTTGTATATGGATCTATCTGTCAATTTTTTCAAAAAAATTGAATAAAGAGAGAGATGATAAGAGTGAATAGAAAAAAGGAAGGAAGAAAGGAGTATGTTTCCTTAACCAAATTGATCTTTTTGTTATGTTTTACTAAAGGGATATGGAATAAATCATTGATATTATATTTAAATTTAGAAGAAAAGGGTAATGAACTTGTTAAATACTATTTCTCCAAACTTTATATTTTTATTTATAATTCTTTTGTAAGTTTGTAATATTTGAATCAATCCTGAGATCATACTTACTTATATTGCTGTTACATACATTACAATTGTAGGGAAAGGATACTTGACACTACATTCATGAAGTAATGCCAATAGCGTTTGACTCATATTTCTCCCCATAGTGCTTTACAGCACTTTCTGGGTGGTTTACATTATAAACATTATTTGCATATTGTCCTCAACTATATGGGTCCTCATTTTAATCACCTTTGAAGAATGGAAGGCTGAGTGAACCTAGACCCCCATTAAGAATGAACTCTTGACTATGGTCAGATTTTTCCTGAAATACTGCTGTTTAATTTTTGTGCCACTGGGACACAATTCTCTACATTAATTGAAAAACATATCAGAATATTAGTTGAATATTAGTTAATAGAAGTGTCTGCATAATCTCTTTACCCTTATCATAATCATATTTGTTGTTTCTATAAATTAAAATGCCATTCTTCCATTTTGCTAATACTTAATTCAAATACTAATATTTGATATTTTTTTGTTGTAAGATATTTCCAGATTCTCATTACTAATGAACAGCATTATGGTCATCAAGAGTCAGAGGTAACTCAGTGCACCATAACCATCTCAATCTTAACAGAGATAAATCAAATCTCATAAATGAATAATAAAANTCACTTATAAAGCCCTACATGGTATTGGACCTGGGTACTTGAGAGACCGCCTTCTGCCAATTACCTCCATAGACCCATTAGATCCCACAGATTAGGCCTCCTCTGAATTCCCTCTGCAGGCCAATGCCAGTTGTCGACCATCCGGAGGAGGCCCTTCTCTGTGAATGCTCCGGCCATCTGGAATGATCTCCCTGTGTAGATTTGGACCGTCACCACCCTTCAGGCTTTCCGAAAAGCCGTTAAGACCTGGCTGTTCCAGCAGGCCTGGGGATCCTGAGTTCCACCCCTACTCGAATTGTTGTGCATGTTGCGACTTTTAAAATTGTGTTGTATTGTTTGTTTTTTTGTCTTTTTACTTTTTTGTATTGTGTCCCTTCCCTTCTGGTTTGTCAGCCGCCCTGAGTCCCTCTAGGAATAGGGCGGCATACAAGTCGAATAAATCACTAAACCACTAAACCAGAGAGAGAGAGCCAATCCAGTCCAACCTCGGAGAGTTATCCAGGGCTGGCAGCCATGTTCTCTCCATCTCTTTTCCTCTCTCTCACACACACACAAAAAGACACAGGTTCCTCACCCTCCCACCATTCCCGAGGCAGCCACACCCCTTTACTAACCTGCTGTCAACTTCTAAAGTGTTGCCATGACTATTATCAGCTTGGCATTTGAGGAGGATTCCATGCATACCTTCAGCCAGAGTTGGGTCTCATATTTCTACAACCTAGTTTATGAATATGAGGTATGATGCATGACAGAAGGGAGGAGATAGAGGAGTAAAGTTCAAATGCAATTAAGTGAAAGCCAGTTTAGGCTCCACAGAAGATCAAGCCAAGT